ATGCTGGCAGGCAACTGAAGCTTTCTATGCTTGGAAAGAAAATCCCTGTGTTCTCAGTGCTTGAAGTTGTTAGTTCCACCTTGGATAACCATTGCCTTATAGTGTGTTTAGCTTAGCTGTAGTTTAAAATCCTGCCTGCAAACGTCTACCACTTTGCACTGCTTTGATCAAATCAAATAAAGGCTTTCAGGTCCACCAAAGACAATTTTTATGTATATCCCATAAATTATAATATTTTATCAGTCTTAAGATGCGGTCACATTAGTAAAAAAAAAAGGTCCATTGTGCATCATCAATAGTGTAGTGATGTATAAAGCACAGCTCACACAGCAGTCACTTTCAAACCATGCATTCGCTGATTTTGCTTGACCAGCTTGAACCCGATGCAAAATCTGTGGGGGCAAATGTTTCACCCACCCACAAAACTTAATAGCCTCTTCAGCATTTACTTTTAGCATTTTGTAATTTCTTTGCATGGACACAATCAAGATGTTACCATTACTGCAATGCATGTTAAAAAGACACCTCATCTTATTAACATGCATTGCAGTAAATTACATGGTAACATCTTGCTTAAATGTGTGCATAGTGTCACTTCATATTAGATGACATTTTCATCTATCCGCCTGCATGAATTCCAGCAGATGCATTTACCACATGATAACAGTTATTTTTTAAAAGCCCCTGCTGGATTTAAACTATTTAGACTGAAATGTGACAAATGCAGCCTGCAAGTTGTTTGCGGTCTCATCTGTCCAGAATTCGTCTAAAATATTTACCATGCCATGAGTAAAACATATAATCCATCACAACTCATTCATTTCTGATGTCGTATTTTGGAATGTTTCACCAAGAAAAGCAGTGATGCAAATAACTTTGGGATTATTTGGGATTTGTGTGAGCCTGGCAATATTTTTTAATTTTAGTAGTTGAAGAGAATAACAGTGCTTCATTTTATTATGGTAATGGTTGTACCGTAACGTTTTTTATATTGTCATATATTAACCTCATCAGGATTCTTATTATTGGACCGGCCTTCACACTTTCCCTCCATTTCCTCAGTTTCCTGTATTTGAATGTACCATCTGCAATGATATATTGCAATACTTATCAGAGAATGTGAATACCATGCACTTATTTCCTGTCTGAACTGAATGGAAAGGAAAATTAATTGGATTGCATACCAATTTCTCAGTAAATTACATACATTAATTTGAGACTTAGATGCATAATTTAATAAGTGTTTTTTGAAAGAGAGCGTATATAATATAAGTAATAAATAGTCCAACCATGGCAAGCCGCATTGTTGCTAGACTGCAGGTCTTATGAGGGTGTTTTGTTGGACTCAGTGAATGTGTGTGTGTGTATGTATCCATGTATTTGGGGTGTACCGCTGTGTGTTGTGCTTGGCCTTCTTGCTCTAAATGGAAAGATATATTTGCCATAACCCTTATCTGACTCTCTTTTCTACGCAGCTAATTCAGTCCCTGCCTGTGTGTGTTTGTTAGTCTTTATAATATAATAGGAACATACTGTATAGGGTCCAAAGTTAATGCTCCCCAAGCCCCAAATATGTGTAAAAATTGGCTTTGGAGAGTAAATAAAATGGAGATGATTTGTGGCAGGTAAAATTATAAGAAATTATAAATTTTATATCTAAATTATAAGAAATTATAAGTAAAATTATGTTTTTTTTCTGTGGAGCACAAAAGAAAAGACATTTTGAAGAATGTTTTTTGTCCATATTGGTAACTCCAAAAAGAACATAAATGTAGCATAAAACTATTCCTTACGACTCAACTAGTGCAGTATTTCTTTCTGATGTTTGCCTCAATAAACTCCTAATTAGCTGCTTATTAATAGTTAGTAAGGTAGTTGTTAGGTTTAGGTATGGGGTTTAAGGATTAAGGGATCAATATAAGCCATTATGTGCTTTATAAGTAGTAATAAACAGCCAGTATCCTAGTAATTTACATGCTAATAAGAAACTAGTTAATAGTGAATAGTGTTTCCTAAACAAAAGTGTTACCTTAAATTTTAATATAGTATTAAATATCACACACATATGCAGACTACATCAAATATAGAGACACCAAACATGTTTGCCATATAAACCAGAGGTTTGACATGGAAGTTGATTTGATGTTGTCTGTGTATGTGAATGTTGATCAATATTTTGATTTGATTTGAAAGTAAAAGGCTTATGTTTAATTTCTCTTCATCATACAAAGTGTTTGTGTAGCTACCAGTCGAGTCGTATGGATTAATTTCAGCTTTCATTTTTATGTCCTCTTGGAGCTTGTACATTTTTGACCTCATTCATAATGTGAACAAAACAACTAAATAATTCTTTAAAATATCTAATTTTGTGTCCCACAGAGTTAAGAAAGCCATACGAGTTGAGGGTGATTGGGAGTGGGTGAACAAAGTGTGAACAGTGAGTTGTAACAATACTATGTTGTGTGCAGTTTAAAGGTTGGACAATGACTTATAATATCTGAACAGATTTTAAAACACTGCGCATCCTACACTTGCTGACTTTGTAAATGGTTATGGAAAAAAACTGTGCATCATACACTACTAAACGAACGAAGGTTGCACAATACCAGACTTTCATGTCCTTCCGAACACAACAAACTCGTGCAGAAACAGTCACCTCATTTCTAGAAGAAAACAATGGGTTTTCTCCATGCAATGAGGACTAGACTAGAAAAAAAATAAAAAAATAATCAAAGTCCGTGGCCATCATACACAATACATTTTTTGAGAAGTCTGTCAACTCTGACGTCCCAACATCTGGAGACTGGTTATGACTTTCTGCGACTCTTCCAGATTGCAAATTGTGGCAGAAATCTGGGCAAGAGTTGGGTAGTGTATTCCAGCCTTAAGACAAAAACTGTCTGTGGAATTTTTAATTCACCCTTCATTGGCAGGTGTGGCAAAAAGTTATTTTTGAAGCCTGAGTGCAAATATACTGAACACACATAATTTTAGCACTATTTTGACCACAGTGCTGATAGGTCTCTTAAGAGCTGTTGAAAGTGCTGCTCTATGCGCTCTTTTTAAAGGAGAGCACCCTGAGTGGTCGATATTTTGGTTGATATAATGGTTTTTAATGAGTTTATTTAATGGTTTTTATATAGTTTGGCTGTTCATTTGTGGTTGCTCTTTGGTTTGTGAATGGTTAGTGTTTGGTTGTGTAATGGTTTGAGCGTTTCCAGATCAGTTATCTCTCATGAGAGGCTCATTCAGTGAAACCATCTGTTGCCTGACAACCCACTGTTGCCAGCAGTCACTGTGTCTGTGTGTGTGTGTGTGTGTGTGTGTGTGTTTGGCACAGCCTGAGCTCGGTGAGTGGTTCAGTGGGCCAGCACAGTTTGAGTCTGGCATGAGACCTCAGTGAGAGTGTGTGGAAGTGATAGAGAAATGCCACACTGGCAGATAACGCTCTCACATGCCACAGGCCAACCTTCATTTCTCTCTCTCTCTCTCTCTCTCTCTCTCTCTCTACAGGTTGACTGTGTGTGTGTGTTTATTTGTGTATTAATAGTTGGTTTAATCTGCATGTGTATGTCTTGCTTAGTTATATCACATGGTTTGAGTTCACACTAATATTTTATAGCATCTTCCTGCTGTTTTGACCAGAGACCGTATAATGGGGAGGAGAGGGACCACTCTGAGAAAAATGAATGGGAGAAACAGAGGAATTATGACCCCACATTTCAGTTCAAACAGCCAATTGCCTTTATCCGATTAAAGTCTATGCTCATCTATATATGATTTTAGTTATTTGATGTATGATATTTATGAATATATGATATTTTTGTCAGATTTTATTGATTTTATTGTTACCAATATGACCGTTGAGTGACCTGACTTGCCTTAAAGCTAATAAAAGTTCACCCATAAATAAACATTGTCATCATTTATTCAACCTTGTGTCGTTCCAAACCTGTACAACCTATTTTCTTCTGTGGAATATAAAATAAGATATTTTGAAGAATGTTTTGACTGTTTTTGTCCATGCAAAAAAAAAAAAAATATATATATATATATATTTTTTGCATTTTATTTATTATGCACTTTTCTTAACCCAGAACGCTACAACTGCAAACATAGGTAACAACAATAAGCATGGGTTTATATATATGTTCTACAGAGAAGAAAGTCATACAGTTTTGTAACAACATTAGAGTGAGTAAATGATGACAGAACTTTATTATTATTAGTAGTAGTATTGTTTTTAGGTTAAGAGTCCCTTCTTTTGTGTTAGTGAGATTAAGCGTGTTACCCATGCTGATGCTTGTAACTGTAACTATTTAAAGGGATGTTTCACCCAAATACGTTCGTGAACTGGACATCACTCTGGACAGCTTGCCTGAGGATTACAGGTAATAATGTTATAAATAATGTTCAGTTTCTTGCACAGACTGATTGTTTTGCTTCATAAGACCACAATATATCGTCAGGAGCCATGGCTATTCATTTTATTTATTTATTTTTCCAAAGACGGGCAGCCGCTGACTTGCATTTTATGAATCAGCAAGGCACACGGTTCCAGCTAAAAATCTTCTTTACTGTTCTATTGAAGAAAATCTTGAATGGCCTGAGGGTGAGTAAATTAATAGCAAATTTTCATTTTTGGGTGAACTATCTCTTTAAGATGGGTTTAGGTCATTCTGACTAAAATACATTGTAATATATCAGAGAGGTCACTGCCATTATCATTATTGTTATGGCTATGAATTGAAGTCAGTTCACAAGTATCTGGCATCATTGTTGCCCCCTCCTTTTCCCTCTTTCTCCCTTCCGCATAGGAAATGAATCTTCTGGCTACACAGCAGTCTTATTTTCAGAGCAAACACCAGGAGTGTTTGAAGTAGAAAATCAGCAGTGTGTGTGCGCTTGTGTGTGTTAGTGTGTGTGCTTGTGTGGTAAAAGTCAGCTTTGAAGTGTCTACTTCCTCCTGCTGAAAAACGTCAGGTTTAATCAATATTTACGTGCTTACATACACACACACACACACACATATACACACACTGCAGTCTGTAGCCTAGTTAAACCGCTCTCAGGGACCAAAACGGAGGTTTTATGATAGATCAAAAAAATCATTTTCTCAACCATTGAGACGTCTGTTTTAGACATTTTAACATTTAATGCTCTGGAAAAATGGAAAAGGTATAACAACTGTAACAATCATGTTTAACTTGTTAAACATATCTCATTTTAATGGCTGCATATTGTGACATTTATACTATACGTCCTGTTATGAATATGGACATGTGGTATTATTATTATTATTGAGTGAATAAACTCTCATGACACAATGAATCTCTGTGTACTGTATATCTGCATGAAGATGTCTGGAAAACGTGTGTATGTGAATGAGAGGAAGGAGATAGTGTCTGAGCTGGCTAATGAAGATGAATTGAGTCATTCACTGAATCGCTGGTGTCATTAACTCTGTCTGCTACCTTCTACAGAGAAGACAGGTGCTCTCCGACACACACACACACACACACACACACAGTTTTATGGGCTATGCCTGGCGTGCTCATAAATTTGAGCCTAATCGATTGGCATGTCATCTAGATTACATATTAAAGCTTGTGTTGCCAATTCTGGATTGTTTAGACACTTGGATTGCGAATCAGAAATAATGTGTTAGTCATATCAGATGTCATAGCGTAATGCCACCAGTGATGCAGAGTCTGCTTAAAGTTTATGACTCTTCCTGTACAATGTCTTTCTGTTCTAATGATGCTGCAGGAAGTTTGTAAGATTACGCTGCAGTGTTTACACATTTCGTTCTGTGCACTAAACCAGAGATCTCAAATTCAAATTATATGGGGCCAGGTGGTGTTCTCCGTCAGGGGCAGTTGAGCGTTTACAACCAACACAAGGGGTTTTATAACCATGAATTTGAACTATATGCGCTTATGTTGGTACAGTTGTACAGTTATTGATGCATGGACTTACACCTAGCATACTAATCCAGACTAATTATGCCTGAAACTCTATTACTAGAATGCAACGTTTTCTTGCAGATCAGGCAGGAAGAGTCTCTTTAAGAGGCCAGAAACATAACAAGCTTTGATGTGACAAAATGAATGAAAATATAAAAGGACTAAAATATACAGTATAACAAATAATTCACTTTAATAAACATTACATTTCAAATGCACGGCCAAAATAAAGTTGCTGGAGTAGTTAAAGCATGTCAAAATCACAAATGTGACACCTGTCAGAATAATCTCCAGAAGTTTTTATAATTTTTTTAGTGCTTTATACAATACAGATTGTTTCAAATCAGCTTTACAATTCTAGACAAGAAAATAGTGATTCAGTGATGCAAACAAAATTCAATTCTGCTGTAAATCAGCTCTAAAAAGATAACAGTAAACAGGTAATAATAAACAGCATTAACTAATGCAGTAGGGTACAACGGGGCTAAAGGCGCCCTGGGGTAAAAGGCGCCTTTGATATTATTTTCATCTAAACAACTAGATGGCACAAAAACGTGGCATAGCACTTTCCAAAACATCCGCTTTTCAAGATGCATGTGTATTTTTGTCTGATCCTTGATGCGATCGCGCGCAGCTGCGCAAAGTTGATTCTGTGCTTACTTGATCTAATATTTTCTGTTTTTAAAAATTTTGTAGATTTAAGTAGCAAATGAGAATCGCTAAAATTAATGCATATATTTTGAGACAAAGGTCTTCTTTATGATTTTCATAAATGATGATTTTTGTTTAAGATAATTAAAGCAACAGGCCTTTGTTCACCCCCCGGAGCCGTGTGAGACACTTTTTTATGGATGGGCGCTTTTTATTTAACTTCTTTTGGACTGATGCATGCAACACCTGCTGAGTGGCATTAAACAGCTTGAAAGATCAAAGACAATTTTTAATATAACTCCGACTGGATTCGTCTGAAAGACGAAAGTCATATACACCTAGGATGATTTGAGGGTGAGTAATTTATGGGCTAATTTTCATTTTTGGGTGAACTAACCCTTTAATGTTCAATACAACGTATATATATATTTTTCTGCAATTATACATTTTAGGCGCAGTGAATGACACATTTTTTCTTAAGGTGGGCCTTTAGCCCCGCTGTACCCTATATATAATAAACTAACAGTAAACAACGTTTATACAGCATTTATTAGATGTAGATTAATATTAATTTCTATATATACAAAAATTAATAAACATTTTAATGCAGAGGTTCCCAAACCTTTTTTTCACCAAAACAAGTTGTTCCAAACCTGTATGACTTTCTTTCTTTTGCGAGACACAAAAGAAGATATTTTGAGCATTGTTTGTTGCTAAACAGTTTTGGTTACCATTGACTTCCATTGTATGGAAGTAAAAAAAAACACACACGCTGAGACATTTTTCAACTTACCTTCCTTTATGTTCAACAGAAAAAGGAAAGTAATCTATTGACTCTTGAGGGGCTTAATCTCGAGGGCCGAATATGAGATCTTTGCTCTAAATATTTGCTGTTGTTGTCATAGAATATGCCAAATATGCAATATTAGTAAATAATAACCATAAACAATCTAGTAAAGTTCAGATATGTGTGTTCATGCTTGCATTTGCACAATACTTTCAGTATTTAAACGTTAAGCATGCACTGAAGCAGGTGTGTCTTTCATTAGAGTCGTACAGTATTGTGTACTGTATTCAAAATTCACTGGACACTGTCCAGCTAGCTGTTGAGTACATCAAGTGCACACGCATACCACAACTAACCATCTGTTACACATGCAGAAAAACACACGCAAGGAGAAACAAACACACTCACATTCATGCCCCCATCTGCCATGCGGCTACATAGACATGCTTCACGCAGTCTTGTACAAGCATGTGCACAGTCACACACACACACACACACACACACATGTTGTGTTTCCATGTTTTATGGGGACATTCCATAGGCGTAATGGTTTTTATACTGTACAAACTGTATGTGCTATTGCCCTACACCAACCCTACCCCTAAACCTACCCCTTACAGAAAACTTTGTGCATTTTTACTTTCTCAAAAAAACTAATTCTGTATGATTTATAAGCTTGTTTCCTCATGGGGACCTAAAAAATTTCCCCACAAGGTCAACATTTACTAGTATTACTATCCTTGTGAGGACATTTGGTCCCCATAACGTGATAAATACCAGGTACACACACACACACACACACACACACAGAGGCATTTTGCTTGCCTCAGTTTCACTTGACAAATAGCGCAGATAGACCTAAGCCACTTCAGAGCGCCTTTCTTCCTCCCTTTTCTTCTTCTCTCGATGTTATTCTGTTGTTTCTTTTATGTACAGTAAAGACGTGTGAATGGGGAGGGCGGAGGAGACAGAGAAATTCCAGGGAGGGAAAAAGTTGTCCATTCAAATGCAGGATTATTATTGGCTATTGCTCCGGGCCTCCCTGAACAATCAGCAATATCATTCATTCTTACCGCTCACAGACGGATTCCACACGTATATGTACACACACACACCCACAATTCCTCGTTCTCACACTAATAAACACATGCAAGCAGAGACAAGTGGCCTTTACTTAAAACTCTACCTCTTTCTTTCTTTTCGTCCTCTCTATCATGACCTTTATTTTGTTTCCTTTTTCGGTCTTTCTCTGTGATCCTGCTTTTGGTTGTGTAATACTCCAGGCAGCTTTCAATGGGCTGAATATAACCGTCTGGGGTGCCCACTTCACTTCTGCACTTTGTGTGTGTGTCTGGGACAGTCTGTGTGTGTGTGGATGTGCTCTGATGGTAGAGAGGTACCAAGTAGGTCTTTCTGTTTATCCACCCCACCGAGAAAGAGAGAGAGAGAGAATATAAGACAGAGAGAGGTGGTTTATTGTTTCTTTTGCAGACGGATTTGGAGTGGGAGTCTTATTGATTTTTCCCACACTCTTCTCTTTCTCCCTTTCCTTATTTTTTCTTCTCTCCGCACACTCACACTCATCTTCAAACTTTTCCTCTTCTTTTTCTCCTTCCTTTCTTTTACCTTAATTAGTGAGAGCACCTGACAGTCTGCCATTATGCTAATAAAACATTGTAAGAAGTTATGAGATCACATATTGTTTAAGGAATATTCCAGGTTTAATACAAAAGCTCAGTCAACAGCATTTGTAGCGTAATGTTGATTACCATAAAAATAAAAAGAAGAATTTTAGTAAGGCCCTTCAAATGGAAGTGAATGAGGCCAGTTGTGAAGAATTTAAATGCTGAAATGTCAAGCTTCAAAATGTATAAAAACACAAATTCCTCAGTTAAAATATATGTATATGTATTATTATTTTTATCTGTAAAGCTGTTTATTTGTGATTACCATAGGGTTTATGGTGTTGCATTGTTATGGCTTTACATAGAACAATTTTGTAAACTATTTTTCACAATACAATCATGTTAAGAAATATTATGTCATGTGGACATATTTTTGAAACTGAGTATTTTTTGTTTACAAATTCACCCATTCACTTCCATTATGAATGCCTCACTGTAACCCAGATTTTTTTTTTTTAGGAATAGGACGGAAATGCATTTTTGTTGAAATCAGCATTAGCCCCAAATGCTGTTGTTTGAATAGAACTGAACTGGATAATGACACTAACTTTGCAACATCAACACCGTTATTGAACAGAATTGAAACAACATTGAATTGATTTGAGCTGAATGATGACACTTATTGCCTTCTGTAGAGCTGCTTATAGCTAAATTGAACTTGTTTCATAATGGATGAACCTTTCAACATTTACCATTATTTTCCTGTTTATTAATGTGACGCTGCTTTTAAACTATTTGAATTGTATAAAGCGTTATACAAAGAAATGTGACTTGACTTGAACCTGTTTAGTGTTCACGCTGCTAAATATCCAAAGGCAGTTGACATTATACTATCATAGTATCAGCAAAAGACATCTGAATAATATCAGCAAATTTGTAACTGAAGCAAGTAATGAGATAATTAAGATGAGATGAGAGAATACATTAGTAGTTAAGCGAAGCTGCTTTGTGAGAGTGTGCTGAATAGGCAATGTGAGTTCAGACAAATAATTGCATTCTATGTTTAAAAAAAAGGTCATGATATCATTATAATGCTGCTGCATGCTGCTGAAGTCGGTCGCTGTCTGATTAAAGACATGTGCAGTCGCTCTCTCTCTTTATCTCTTCATCTGTGCCTTCAGTCTGCAAGACCCCCCATCTCCAACTTTCCTTGGACAATACTTCAGAAAAACTAGTCAACCTCCAGTAAATAAGGGGCATTAGTTATTGAAGCGCATGTTGCTCATTTGTTTTGGCCACTGCTAAGATCAGGTGGAAGTTACTGCTGTTATTCCACCGGAATAGAGATTGTATCAACATGCTTGTATCGCCTGAAATAGTTGAGCTGTTTGACTGTTTAGTTGTAGTCTTTAGCAGTGCCTGTGCAAACACACATACCTGACAGCTTTTGTCTGAGAAGGGATTGAAGTCTAATTCTTGTATTGTGGTTCACACTTTGGAGGAAATTAAATGTTTTGTTTAGGTGGAAAACATCGACATGCCTTTCAAACAAATATAGTCATAACCACAGACTCAACATGCCTTCTCGACTGCACAATACCCAACAAAACAAGTAACAGGAAAACACCTGAATTTGGAATGTGGAACACTTTGTTCTGTCTACCTTTATTTTCTTCGCTGCCTTTCTCAGTGGACAGCTGACATTATTTGCAGACAACTGTTACAGTTTTTACGATTGCTTAAGCACAATTTTGAAAACAGGGCCCGGTTTGTCAAAACACTACACACAATTAACACAACCCTACACCAAAGTAGCACAACACTTCAGAAGAGATTGAAATATCAGACATTCAGTGGGACGGGCTTTCAGTATGCCATGAGTTTCATTTGTATTCATTTGTTCCTGGTTGCATTTTTGACTGACTGTCAATTAAACGTGTGTGTGTGTGTGTGTGTGTGTTTGTTTGGTTTTAAACCAGATGTCACTATAATGGGGACTTGGATATTTTAAAAACCCAGTCTTGAAGGAAATTGTCCTTGTTTTGTTTCACAATCTCTGTGACAACATTTTTAGATGCATTTTAGTTTTCAACCTTTTGCAGGCACGAGCCTTACCCAGAATTTTAATGTATTTTATTTAACCTTTATTTAATCAGGAAAGAGCCTCACTTAGTTTAAAAAAAAATCTCTTTTACAGGAGTGTCCTGGCCAGAATTGGCAGCCTATCTTGTCAACATAACTTGCACATACATACCCAAAACCTACACAAATTAAGACAAACATAAAACATGCAACAATAAATAAACAAATAAACAAACATTTACAAATCATTGACATTGACTTCCAAATATAAAGTGATAAATGCAGCTACATTTTACACTAACTCTATAATTTCTCTGAAAACCTCTAAAGATCAAATAAATTGTTAAAGGGTCAATGACATGATGCAACTAAACAAGTAAAACGGGAAAAACAGTAAATGATATCATAGAGAGAACCCCTGAAAACCATCATGACTTACTGTCAAGGTCAGACTTTAAAATAAGTTTGATTCATAAAGGTTCATTAATTTTAACACTTGGTCTCAGCTTTAATTATTTAAGAGGGCTGCAGAGGTTTCTTAACTTTTTAAGAGGTTTCTTAACTATTACATTTTTAAGAATGTGGCATGCATTTTAAACTACATTCTAAAAGATTTTTCCTTTTTCTTTACTTTGTCTTACTGTTTCATTTGTCATTGATCATAAATCTGACGCTGTTATAACACATTAGCTGGAACATAATTTAAAAAGAATTTGCTTCAGTTATCATCTGAATTCCTTTTACTGATGTTTTCATGCTTTCTAATTTATTAACAGATGTCCTGTAGTAGGGCACAGTACAAACTACAAATGTATTTATATTAATCATCCTAAAACAATGACAAGTGCCATTTAAGACCAAATTAATTTTAGCTTCTGCAATAGGCTCATCATTCAGCTAAGACTCGGGGTACTGGCAGATGTTTGTAAGGAACGTTTAGTACTTTACCATGAGGTCTGGTTTGTAGACTCACACACACGCACACACACACACACACACACACACCACACACACACACACACAGTGTGCAGAATAACGTCCATCTGGAAATGTGTTTACTGCAGTCTAAACAACTGTAAATTACAACAAACACAGGTTGTAAACTCACTCTCAGTTTCTTAGTTGCTTACACATCCTTTTTCATCTCTCTAGCACACACAGAAACACTCACTACCACATTTCTGGTGTTCAGTGGTAATTAGAACAGATCAGATCTGAGCTATCAGTTGTCACCTGTCATCATACCTGTCATTGTATTTAACAGAGCTAAAATATCACAGTACCTCGTTTTACTAAATATACTTTTGTAAGCTTACTCGACGCATCAGTTGACTTCATTACCCTACATTACTTAACATCCCTCGCACTGCTTTGTAATACTTCATCTGACCTACAGAATATAGCACATAGTTGTGTCATGTTTATACTGTTTCGATTGTAGTTCTAGAATCACATGTAACTTCTGACCTTCTTAGATAACCATTTTGCTATAGTGTACCTACTAGTTAGTGCAGTCAATTCCAGGCACAGATTCACACACACTATACGACTATAAAAACGTATACAGTTAAAACATGATATTTCCAATTAATTTGTCTAATTTTGATCCACACACACACACACACACACACACACACACAAAAGAAATGTAAATGAACTAATTGGATGAGTGAGTGATTCAATGACTTACTCATAAATACAGTCATTTATCATTTGTTGAAAGGGTCAATGACGTGCTAATGCACTGAGAGTGAAAAAATTTTTTTAAAAAAAATAAACCAAGCGGACTGATATTTACCAATAATATGTTTTAGTAAGATGATATTTTAATGCTTAATTTTATGATCATAGCTCTGTAGTTTTAATTGGGGGAGGCAATGCCTTATGATGATGTACAAATAAACATTCCTCAAAAGCCTGTTGTATCATGATTGATACATTTTAACATGATTTTTTACGATGTATGGATAATTAAGTAAACCTATGTAAGTTGCTTTAGTCCCCTAAGTGTTCATCTTGAAATATCATCAACAATATAAAAGTTATGTATATGTTTGGTTTATAAAAATCTGTAAAATTTTCACAGCAAAAAGACACTTGTACCACATTTTTTGAATTTTCCTAAAAGGCCTTTTACTTGCTAAAGTATACTATCAATTATATGACAAAAGGCATGTGTGCAACAGGTTTTTCAGAAAAGTTTGGATCATGTTGATAATATAGAGGCCTTATAAGTTTGTGTATCAAATATGAAACAGTAGGCTTTATAGGGTTAAGCTACCCATCTGTGCACCTCAGTACCTCACATTACTAAATTTACATCAGTTTGGACAGAGAACCCGGGCTCTGTGAGGTCCATAGCCTACTCACTGGGTCTGGAGGAGGGGATTCATCCATAATCATTTTGTCCTGGGCATTTAAGGGATGACCAGTGACACATGACCCTGACTCAACCTACCAATCTAACTCAATATCTCACATTTCTTATTATATCTCAGCACCTTACTCAACTTACCGGCCCATCTCAATAACCATCGATCTATATACCCTAATACCTCAAATTAAAGTCTTACTCGAGCTACCACTCTAACATGAGAATGAATGAATAATTAAACAAATGAGTAGTCAAAAACATATTTTTTTAGATTAGTGTGGGTGTGTACAATTGTGAGTTTCAGCTTCACAGGAGCTGCAGTTGACCCTTGACCTCTCCCTACCGGCAGGTGCATACTGAGAAGGTGATTGAGGTCATTCCTGCTACTTTCTTTTGCTTCTGTCTCCCAGGCAAAACTCCCCACCTCTCTCTGGCTTTGGTTCCTGTTGTGGTTAACTGGAGTCTGGGTTCAGATCTGTAGATACTCATCTGTAATCTCCTTAAGAAGCTTAGATTGGTTTTGAACAGTTTCGAAACTTTCCCTGCAATTACTAAACGGCTAACCATGGTTTTACCTCATTCAGAAGTAAAACAGAGAGCGTGCGAGAGAGAAACAGATGCTGCCTCACTTGTTAGCTCTCCGTGCGTCACTTGCGCATCGGCTCCCGTCTTTAGACCGCTCGTGATCGCTGTTCATGTCCCTAGAGCGGTAGTGCCGTAGAAGGCAGACTGCACGAGCTCATGCGGCCCGCGGGGCGGACCGAGGGGTGGAGCCGCTCCCGGTGTATATAGAGCAATTCCATGTTAGTCTGGGAGAAAGAGAGAGAGAGAGAGAGAGAATCCCGTGTCCGAGAGCCGCACTTCACCTAAAACAACTTTAATCCGAGCGTGAGAACCGAAAGAATCAGAGCACTGGAGTTTATTCTCTGCACTGCTGCATGCATGGGAATGATTTGATTCACTCACTCCAGGAAAAGCCCATTTAGTCTGCAACTTCATGATTTCAAAGCCGGGATTCTTTTTTTTAAACACTATATTCCTACCTGTCAGATAATATGTTTTAAACGATTCTTTGAAGTCCGAAGTGTCTCGGTGCAGTGAGCTTGAAGGACGGGCCTGACTGTCTCCTGGCTGGACTCGGTACCCGTGTTGGATCGAGAAATTGTGTGTGACTCCTTTACCGAGAATTATCGGTGTGCGCGGCTTATTTCCACACTAGAGGCACCGCCTTTGCTCTGAACACACACACACACAGGTGCCAGAGAGACACACACACTTCCGATTGAGTATTCGAGTAAAGGCAGATCAGCGAGGATCACCCAGGACTTTACGCGGCACCGAGTTGGATTTACAAAGCAGATTTGTCCCTGTGTGACAACATGATGGATGCATGCATGAAGGCGCGCGAGATCAGTACACCTAATTAATCAATACCCTCTAAGCGCACGTGAAGATCAGCTCCGCTGGATGTGTATGACCGCATCTCTATCACCAGGTGGCTTTTCAAGTGCGTGTTTCCGAGCGCGTTTCTCCTGTTGGCGCATAAGGTGTTTTAGGAGCCACTAAGCAAAAGCGCAGAGCGACAATGCGCGTGCGGGGTTAGTTTAAACTTTGCTTTGCAGCGGAATCGTCTGGATCTGGACTCTAAACTCGCGTCCCCTGTACAGAAGAGACTACGTAGACCCCAGGTGGGAGCTGATCTGGATTGCATTGCAATTTGTTTCCCTTTGTAAAAGAAGAAGGGAAAAACATTCCAGCCGGAGGAGATTACAAGTGTTTTCTTCTCAAAGATCATTTGTCGTGACTCCTCTCGTTTTTGGATTTAAAGCTCCTGCGCCTGATTTGGTGCAACTGTTTCGCACCAGGAATTTCGTGCGTTTTATTAGAACTTGGAGGAAACAGCAGTAATGTTTGTGTTGAAAGCAGTGGTTCTCTGTGCATTGCTCAGCGGGGCTGGGGCTCAGTCGTGCCCGTCTCAGTGCTCCTGCAGCGGGACAGCGGTGGACTGCCACGGGCAGAATCTGCGGAGCGTGCCGCGGAACATTCCCCGCAACGCCGAGCGACTGTGAGTGCGCCGAAACACGCACCATAAACACGAATACACTTGCCAGTACTTTACTTTACAATGTGCATTTGAGCCACAAAATTATTATAAAATTATAGTTATTATCTCTTTAAATTAATTCAGCATGCACACAGGACGACCAAATATTCTTCATAATATGCTATGTATAATGTTATTTACTCACGTCTGTTATTAATTTTGACTGTTATGAACAGTGTGCATGTAGTATAATAAGCCACACAAACGATATATTGATATTATTCTGTTACATGCTTCTTGAAGTGCTGTCGTCAGAACAATACCAGACTGTCCTTTTCTATTCCACTCACGCATATCTCAATCTGTCTCTCTGACTGTCTTTCTGAAGTGGGATTCATTAATTAAACTGGCATGAAGTTTTAAACACAACCTGCGCTGCTTTGACGAGGAGATGTTGTTGAACCACCAGACGCAGTTAAAATCCTGCCTTTTACTTAATTGTTAGAATTTCAATCACTCCTGGCCTGTACTATTATTTTCTTTGTTTAATACTACGATATGCATTTTTGGCTGGATAGTCATTTAGAAACGTAGGTTCCAAAGGCTACATGACACCAACGTTAATTGGTCAGGATTCAGAATTCAATTAGAACCCTGCAAAGAACTCATCCACAGTCTAGCACATACTTCACCAGTGATAAAACACACTCAAGGATGGTGCATGATGATGCAGACTATTTAAGCAATCTAGCATGCTGTGGAATATGTGAAATCCACTGTAGTGAAGGCCAGTGTAATGAAGTGGCCAGAAAAAAAAAGGTTCATAGCATAATTTACCACTTAATGGCCTAATTTAGACTTCTTAATTATGGCTAAATACGTAAGTCGTTATTCACCATTTTACCCCCCTCTTTTCTTTCCATAGTGACCTGAATGCAAACAATCTGACTAAAATCACAAAGGCAGACTTCGCGGGACTACGGCAACTCAGAGTTCTGTAAGTACTGAACTAGTTTTATGAACTGGTTTTTTATTCGTTTTAATGTTTGTTTGCATACAACCTAAATGTTTTAAGAGTGTATCTTGCATGCAGAATGCACAATGTAGATTTTATTACAAAAAAAGCAAAAACAACTAGAAAAAAGTTTGTATGTAAAATAGAAAATATGAAATGTTTGCCTATTAAAAATACATATGTTTTTGTTTTATCTTCTGAAATTAATCAGCCACCCACCCACACACACACACACACACACACACACACACACACACACACATATATATATGGCATGACTTGTCACAAAATACATTGTTCTGGGTTTTATTGGGGGTTAAACACTTGTAGTATATGCACACTTAGAGCAAACGAGTTTGAACGATGAAGCTTAACGAGGCAGTGAGCTATGATTGTCAAACACAAACAAAGGCAGCATTTATTCAGAAAAATGATTGCATTATCGGAATGTGAAGTGCCTGTCTATATCTTTCTTTCTTTCTATCTTCCTCTCTGGGTCTGTGTGAGGTTGTGACAGAGCGGGAGATTTTGTGAATGTAGATGTGTGTGAGTTGGAATGTGTTGGTGCGAATGTATGTGTTAGAGAGAGAGACATATAGAGAGCTCATGTAAGAACAGGTTTGTCCTCCCACTTGGAGAGTAGTATTTCAGCTGAAGACTTTCTCACTGTCTGTCTTTCCTTTCCCTCATAGATGCATTCTTTTCTCTTCCTCTCTCACTCTTACTTTTTCTTCCTCTTCTAAGACATCACTGAAATGATCTGTATCTCCAAACTTCATCTAAACTGCCAACACATATACTTGATTCATATGAGAAACAATTAGAACATAAACAAACAAACAAAAAATGATTCTAACCTAGTTTATTATTCTTCTGTGTGGTTGCCGGTGATTTTGACCCATTTTAGAGTGTTCCAATTTAAGACACATACTTTAAATTTACATTAACGTAAATTGTTAATGTCACTTACTTGACATCCTTCACAGACATCTCTCACACAGACACTCAGTCAAACAGAAAATTGTGACTTGTGGGCTGTGATTTCTCATGTAGGGTCAATTTCCAGCTACGGAAGGGTTAAATAATGCATCAGTAAACCTTTGAATGATGTTATAAATATATGATTCCCATACCGCAGGGGTATACATGTGAAAGTTCACCTGGGTCTCTGTGATGTTGTAATGTACTACTATAAAAAGGTAAAAGTAGTAACTACGCTAAAGCTGAAACTGAGAATAAGTTCAATGTTGTTTGATTTAGTGATTTGACACGAATTGTCACACTCTTTTTATTCTTAATCTGAGCGCAGTTGAGACAAACCTGTGTGTCACAGGACAAATCACAGTATAAGAGACTCGATTTCAGCCAATTTTGACAGGCGTTTGCTTTTGTAGGCCAGTGTAGCTGAAGGAAAATGGTGCAATTATGTTTTTTTTTTTTAATCATAGTCTAAGTATAGATGTTGTATTTAGACTGGGGTTGAAAGCTCTTATTTACGGTGGTTTTATAATGAGAGGAGGGTCTCCGATCGTGAGATATCCTGTGAAATGGTGTTTGTGAAAACTATTTGCGGACAATGAAATGTAAAGTGCTTTCTACAAAAGTGCCAAGTATGAACAGACAAATTAACTATTTTAATCTTTAAAAATTCATGCAATGAGTGACTTATCTTTATTTTGGTCTCTCTCTCTCTCTCTTTCATTTCCTTTCTTAGGCAGCTAATGGAGAACAAGATCAGTTCTATTGAGAGAGGGGCATTTCAGGACCTGAAAGAGCTGGAAAGACTGTGAGTGACTAATGCACACACACACACACACACACACAAGATATGATGCACTGGCTAAAAGTCAGCAGCGTATTTGTGAGTTAACATTAACTGTGTGACCTGCCGAGAACAATTAATTGCAAAATGGCATTGCACAATCAAGTGTGTGTTTTCATACCTTAATGGTGGACATTGTATGTTGTGGGCATGTGTGTATGTGTGCATTGTGGTCAAGATTTCATGGAGCAACATTTTTGTCTGACAGCCAACCCAGCCTCAGGGGAACACACACATGCGCAACTAACTCTGGCACACACAGGCCTTTAAGAGAATGACACTGGAAGCAGGAATGGAAAAGGGAATTAAGCATGTTAGTGCATAGTACTGTAGCTAAAGACACTTAAATAGTAGATTAAGTCAGATAATAGTCAGATAATTCTGTAATACAAGACACTGTTTTGAAAGCATTGTTGACTTGAAACCAAGTCGTTAACAAGTTACTACACACACGCACGCACGCACGCACACACACACACACAGACACAAATTCTTTTTTAATCATAAATTGTGTTTTCTTTTTACTCAGTAACTGCACACTACACTGCACTCTTACTTATTTTACTCATAAATTCTAAAAACCCATCTGACATTCTCAAAGGAATCTAGGGCGAATTAGCAATTAATAATGAATTACAATTAATAAAGCTTATTGTGCAGTTCAGTAATGTATTATACAATGAATGAAGGCCACGCGGATCTTAAATTCCCCACAAAACCTTATTTCTCTCCTGAGGAGAGATTAAACACTATGTTAGGCCATTGCATGATCATGATTACTGTCTAGATTCTGACTGCAGAAACAGTATTCTTCTAGATGATTGACTGTCAGTTCCCATCTCTTAATGGTGACTGGCAGATGTTTGGTTTACACGCATGGTCACATTAGAGCTGGCATTTAGAGCCGCGCCGCGTGAGGCTCAGTCAATCACCTGCTCAATGCTCTTCTATTTTTTCTGCTAGTCATTACCTTTTAATTTGGTGAGGAAATGTTTAATGACTGCGACCAGCCCAGCTGAACCGCAAAAGCCTTTTCCCAACTCGGCTCTGTGAGAAACACATATAATTCACTCACGAATTTGATAACTTTTAGTTTAATAAAGGATTTGTGCTAGCTGTGTGTGGCTCTGAATGCTAACTAGCGAAAGGGTCAATGGCATTAACCGTGACTGCGGCTTTGTGCAGTAACATATAGCTCATAAAGCGGAGTACAGCTAACTGGTAATAGCTTGTAATAATACAAACTTGCTTTTGGCGTAAATTGTGCAGTGTTGGCATAACTGAAGGGTTAGGCAGGCGAACGGTTGCGACGAATAGCTCTTTATAGTGATAAGTGTAGGGATAGAGGAGCTAGCGGTAGCGCTGAATAGCACAGCTAAAGTCAGTGTGTAAGATCAGTCCCACTGTGCCGGTACAAAAGCAAGAGTCTAATGCTGGAGGGTGACTGCATAGCTGAGAGGATTAGAACGCACAGACATTATAATGCCCTTACCAAAGGCCCTTCATAAATATGTGTGTGTGTATGTATGCGTATTGGGGATGCATTTAGGTATTGGGTGTGACGACCTCCCGTAGGGAGGAAAAGTGGAGGCTCTGTTCCACGTATGACCCCCCTTTTTAGACACCCACACATCCGCACAAACACCCTTCGTCACGGCTTGCTAGTCATGAGCAATGCAGTCAGGTAAAGTAAACCTATGGAGGACTTGAGCAAGCTCATTTTCATCTCAGACTTTTCTTCATGCGTTCTCTTTCCTTCCTCTGTGATGCCGCTTGTTTTGCCGTTCTTTTTTCCTTTTTTTTCCTGACCAGACCGGCATATAGTCTAGTCCACATTGCAGCTCATTCTCTTTTTGTTTTATTTTGTTTTTCCGTCTCATTTAGTTTAGTTTTGTGTCTTTTTTTTTTTTTTTCGTTTTTGTTTTATTTAGTTTTTCCAAAAAAAAGAAAGAAAAAAGCGGTAACACTTTATTTTAGGGACCAATTCTCACTATTAACTAGTTGCTTTTTAGCATGCATATTACTAGCATATTAAACCCATATTAATGCCTTATTCTGCATGAGCATATTTTAGATCCCTTAATCCTACTCCATAACTTAACAACTACCTTACTAACTATTAATAAACAGCAAATTAGGAGTTTATTGAGGGAAAAGGCCTAGTTAATAATTAGTTAAAGGGGTCATCGGATGCTACATGCACTTTTACAAGTTGTTTGAACTGAAATGTGTGTTGGCAGTGTATGTACACAACCACCCTATAATGATAAAAATCCACCCAGTGGTTTTTTTTGGAACTTAAAATAAAGTGTGACCAAAAAAAAAATGAAATAGTTAAAAAAAATGGCAAAGTTTTATCCATGAACAGTTGTTCAGAAAACTCCTTAAAATATTGCAAAAAGTAATATAGACTCCACAACTGATCATTTTGCAGAAATAAATTAAAATAAATTAAACGCTGACTATCTTTCAAACATTTTGATACCGTTATCTCAACAAACTTCCGCAATTATTTCATTGTAAAAAGCACTCGTTGTATCAGGCCGGTACCTGACTTTGTGTCCCTCTGGGCTTGTGTGCCTATAAGGAAGTTGCACAGTTTCAGCCAATCAGATTAGTGCTTGCCAAATGAAGAAAGTTGTTTCCAGTTTTGTGTGCAATATGCATCAGGCTGTCAGCGAACAGAATGTGTGAACAGTCTACTGATTTATAAACAAAGCCATAAACTTATCTCATTCGCTGTATGTGATTGATTGTGGATCATGTCTGCTTTATGCTACAGTAGTTGTGTGCGTCTTCACACTGACTTTCAATCCATTCTTTCCTCTGTTCAGTCTTGTTGCCTGTTTTTTGGCATTAAAAGTCATTTCACTTTATGGCCCTCCTTGGAAATGACTGTGAGTGCATGTGTCTGTGTGTGTGTCAGAGTCTGGCTATGTGCATTTCTATCTGCAAGTGTGTGTCTGTGTGTACTCGTCTATTTTAAGGGTCGATCTTATTCGCTTTAAGCACCGGGTGTGTGTGAGTCTTTGTGTGTTTCTGCAGCGGGGTCCTCAGGGAAGGCTGTCCTCTGGTGTCTGAGTGAAACACGTGGGCATTTCTGGAGTGTGCAGCACTGTGTACCTCGTTATTATTTCATCATTCATTAAATATTCAAATGGAATGATGTAACCCCAGAAGCCGAACGATGATGTCATCGGCTGCTGTGTTTGAGTGCGCGAGTGTTTGCGAGAGTGTGTCAGAGAAAGCGAGGGTGTAAAAACAGAGAGGGAGAGTGAGAGCTTTATGGTTTCGTACTTTGTGCAGGCAGAGTTCACTTTAGAACTTGGGCTTGTGTGATTGACGTGCGGGAAATCTTGCATGCTGACGTCAGGGCACAAGAACTGAACGGCTGTTTGTGTTATTTTAACATTCTTCCATTATTGTAGAAGTTCTCAGAACTTGGGAGCTTAATAGGCCGCTCTGAACAATCTGTATTCTGGTATTAAAAACATTATTGATTAATCTCAAGCCTCATTAATCTAATGCACAGACAGCAGTGGCGCCACTCTTCATTAATATGCACAGTGGGTATTATATATGTGCTGTTGTCATGCATAATGTCTATTATACATACACTAGTTGGGAATATTATCCAGTTTATTACAATGTCAGAGAATTCAGCAAGAGAGAGTGAGAAATTACTTTTTATTGCCGAATTTTCGTTGAACTAAAGCAAATATGCATCATTTCCTTTCATCACGTGTGTGCATATGTGTTTGTGTGTGTGTGTATTTGCACTGTAAGTTCTTTTGCTTCACTTTGTGTGAGAAGTTCTGTTTGTTTTTCCCACATCTGTTTTTCCGGGCTGTTCTTTGTCTGCGTGTGTTTGCTAGATGCCCCCTCACACTGACAGTGTCTGCCAACCACACACACACGCGCGCGTTTTTTATAACCTTTTTTAAAACAAAAAGCAATAGAATTTTTTTTTTATTTAACCACTGTATTTATAATTAACACAATTTATTGAGACAAACAACAATATTTTTTTGTTTTAACAATCAAACACAATAAAAATTAAACAAATATCGCATTTCTAATGCTTTATATGCAGATTAAATAGGTCTTTATTGTATTGGTCTAATTGTCTCCCGAGACCACAGGAGGGCGCAATGAGCAAAATAATGCAGCGCATTTAAATTGTCAACGCAAGGAAGTAACTCTATAAAAACGTGCATTACTTCTAAATTAACTATATCTATTATCATTTCGTAAATTGCATAAACAATTATGAACAAAACAGCATCATGTATTTATGCATTGCTTAATCCAAAGAGCCAAAGCGCCATTCACACAGACTGCGTCTGATACACTTCATGCCATTTCTGGTGCCTCACAGTCACTGAATGTTGCTCCTGTGAATGTACATAAACTGCACCACTGTGTGTTTTGTGTGATTTCATGTCGCTGCGTGTGTCTGTGTTTGCAGGCGTCTCAACAGGAATAATCTTCAGGTTCTTCCGGAGTTGCTGTTTCTAGGCTCAACCAAACTCTTCAGACTGTGAGTCCTTTATCTTTTAGCCCCTCTTTTTCCCCTCTCTGTTTTTTTTTCTCACCCCCTTTCTTTCTTCTTTCTCTCCTCTTCATTGTCTCTCTCGGTTCTCCTTTTGTTGCCTTTTTAAAATGGGATTTTGGTCTCTTTACCAACGTTTATTAATTAATATAGCTTTTACAAATCTATTTGCATATTTTAATTACATTATATTCTTTTTCACGTATTTCTGTTGCTGTGCTGCAGTCGGATCTGGGATCTTTCACATCTAGGATGACTTTTTAATACGTTTAAATGTTGCTGTTTGCTTCCCTAATGTTCTGTTTGGTTTGTAGATTCGGTTTTAATAAATTGTTATTAATACCAAAAGATAGTGACATTAAATTTGGAGGAAAATTACAGCATAAAACACAGCAAAATCTTGAGATCTGTCTTCTAAATCTCGCTCATTACTCCCAGACAGGAGTGTGTGTGCATATGTGTGTGTGTGTGTGTGTTTATAATTGAGTTATGCAGGACATCTAGAGATCAGCAGAAAGGGAGGTTCAGACCATGAACAGACTAAATTGAGTTAAAAGGAGATACATGCTTAAACATCTGCTGCTCAGAGAGAGCGAGAGGAAGGATAGCGAGCGCTAACAGCTTTACCAGGAAAAACAACATTCTAACAGACTTTGCAGGAGGTTGATTGAGGAAATGTCTGTGTGTGTGTGTGTGTGTGTGTGTGTGTGTGTGTACACTGCTGCACATATCGCTCATGTTTCTGCCGTCATACAGCCACTCTTCATGTTCTAGACATGGTATGGTTGTATGTGTGGTCTCCTAAAAATACACTGGGATCTTCAGGCTCAACTATCAGGTGTGTGTGTGTGTGTGTGTTTGTTAGACTTAAAGGAAAATGCTGGTCTTTAAAACAGATCTTAAAGAAATAGATTAATGTGTTCACCAAAGCAGTTTACTTGTTTTTATTTTAGATTGTGCGTGTGTTTGTGAAGGGGTCAAGTTGTGCCTACATTGTAGGGACCAAATGTCCCCTCAGGGATAATCAAACCTGAAATGAGCTACAATGGGGGACCAGCCAATGGAAAAATGGCTTAATAAACATCCTAAGTAATGTTTTAATGAAAATGTAAAAATGCAGAGCGTTTGGGTCAGGGTGAGGGATATTAAATATTATTAGCTCAGTGTAAAATACAATAGAAGTCGATGAAAAGTGTGTGTGCACTGCAGGCACGTATGGGATTTTATGATTCTTAGGGAGGGTTTTTCTGGTCCGTCAACTCAATTTCAACAAGATGGTAGCAGGTGTGTGAGAGAAAAAATAAACAATGAGGAAAAAAAGAGGTGTACTTTCTGATAGCATTATTTGATTTGATGCCCTGGCACACACACACACACACACACACACACACACTCTCTCACACACACACACACACACACACACACAGTGTTCTGCGGGTGACAGAACCTTCTAGAGCTTGTTTTTTTCATCTTGCCGGGTGCCCTAGTGACCCCGGCTTCTGCTGTACGTGTGTGTGCGCGTATATGTTTGTGTGTCTGTGTCTGTTTGAATATGAGTTATGGTTACACACATACGGCCGCTGCCACAGTAGCGGCTGAAGTATTTCTGCCTTTTGTCTCCTCAGAGGCCAGGCCTGTTTGAAAACCTTTGAATAACATTGGTTATGTTGGAGAGAACGTTCAGATAACATTTCTCACGGACAGCAGGTCGGTCACAGCTGTGTGTGTTTGGATAGAGAGAAAGTGGGAAAGAAAGAAGAAAAGGACTTGAAGGAGAGAGAAAAGAGGAGACGTGAAAGCAGAGAGAGAGAGATTAGTCCATTAAGAACTCTGTAAAAATTCACTATTAGTTTGAAAATGAGAGTGGCACACCCATTAAAAAAAACAGTGAGTGAGAAAAAAACATAGACCTTAAGGAACCAGGTGATAATTGTAACAAATAGATATCACAATAGTTTTTGCATTAAAAGTTTTCTGAAATAAAATATGCAAATGAAAAAAAAATTCCATGTTTCTTAAGAATAAAATAGGTAACACTTTAGTTTAGGGACCTATTCTCACTATTAACTAGTTGCTTATTGGCTGTTTATTAGGACTTATAAAGCACATATGAATGCCTTATTCTGCATAACCATATTCTTGATCCCTTAATCTAACCCTGTACCTAAACTTAACAACCACTTTACTAACTATTAATAAGCAGCAAATTAGGAGTTTAGTCATAGTTAATAGTTAGTTAACTGGTCCCCAAACTAAAGTGTGACCATAAAAGGTTAAATAAACCAGGCAAATGATATATGAACAAACCCCTCTGAATATTGATAGGAAAACAAATTGGAAAGTTTGGTGCCAGTTTTGCTGAAGTGGAGATTTCTGGCTCAATGCATGAGAAAATGGCCTTTAAAGATATGTATTGTAATTGAAATTTACAGACGCAAATCAATAAAGTGTAATAAATTAAACACTCAAATGTTTAGTTTGAAAGTTTTCTTTCCACTAGTCTGAAAAAAAAGTCTGAAAAAATCTAAAAAATTGACCAGCGCATAAAAAAACAAACAAACAAACAGTGGTTTTGCCTGTAGTGTCTTGCCGTAATTGTAATTTTGTAGATGCTGGGGTTGGTAGGGGGCCGTTCAAGTTGGCGCGAACATATCTTTTGGTGCGAACGGCCACTCATAGTTGCTACGGTTACTGTTGTCATGTCATGTAGCCATCATCCCTCATCCAGTAACTGTTAGTGCTGTTTCACACTGTGCAAACTTTCTGAGTGCGTTTGTGGGTGTTTCTGACCAGCGAAGGAATTTCTCCCATTGTGACGTCTATGTGTGGCTTTTATTGAGTCTGTCACTGGTTATTAAGTCAAATCAAATGCCTTACAATGGTAATTGTGTACGTTGTTTCTGCATGCATTTCTTGAATCATAAGGACAGATATTGATCAGTGTTCTTGTGTCTGTGGATGAAGAGATAAAAAAGTTTGGCATCACTTCTTAAAGCTAAAGCGTCTTCAAATTGTTTTTAGGTTAATGGGACAGATCTAAAAATTAATTCCAAATGTTTGTGATTTTTTTGGAGTTTTTGTTATTTTGGTTTGGTGACCAGCTTGACAAAACAACATTGGCTCAACCAATGGTGTGAGTTTAGGGCGGAACTATCTGTTTGACTGACCAATGACAGAGATCCCCCTTTTGAAAATAACCATCATATTTGTAATTCTGTTATGTTTTGCAATTATTTTTGAAATAGTAGCGCAGAAATTACAGCTTTAACCTCAGATCATAAATGAAAACGATCAGGTCTGCTTGTGTTACAAGCCAAAGCAAAGCATCATGAAGTCTCTGGGAGCACTGACGTTATGTTATGAGAACAGATTAGAAAATTAAATGCGTAGAAAAAGTGAGAGGTTGAATATGTGAGTATGCCAGCAGACATCTTCATATTCCTGTCATGTCTGTTAGCAGTGGCTTTGGGTTCACACACGCTTAGCTGGTTTTAAATATGGCTTTGACGATGTGGTTTTCTTGAGAAATGTGCCACGATTTTTCGGGGTGAAAAATCATAGTGGTTTTCTTGCTTAATCCGCACCACCAAACGCTAGACAAGCCAAACTGTTTGCCATCTCAGAGAGTGTGTGTGTGTGTGTGTGTGTGTGTGTGTGTGTGTGTTTTACCAAGCTCGGCGTTTCCTAGGTCACAGTGCTGTAGAGAGTTTGGCTTTTGTCTGCGGAGTGGACGCTTAACCCCAGTCCTCTCAGCTCACAAGACACACACACACACACACACTTGCTAAGCCTTGTCTGTTCACACGAGTTGGTGGGAACAGTTTTGAAATTAAAGACGGATACAATAGAGTGAAGTGTTGCCTGTCTGTTGAAGTATAGCATTATTAGGTGTGTGTGTGTGTCTGTGTGTGTGTGTGTGTGCGCGCGCGTATGTCTCTGTGTGTGTATGTGTGGGATTTAATTTAATTCATAATCAGATTTTAATGAAGACAGGAAAAGAGTTTATAGCCTGTTGCCATAGTGACAATGACTCATAATGGAAAAACCTCAAGCTTGTAGACATGTGTGTACATGTATGTCGGAGTCTGTGTGTTTTCTTGTGTTATTGTGTGTTTATGCGCATGATTTGCATTTCAGACTTTTTCATGCCTCGTCAGAAGATCAGATATAATATATATTTTACAACAGACTCCTAGGTCGTGAAAAAACATGCGATTTCGGGTCGCAGCTTTGAGTAGAATGAGTATATTATGTGTTGAAGCTGCCAGTTCATTAAAAATATGCAAATGAGAATATTTAAGCAAGATGCAACAGGTAAAGGCTAAATCTGTTGCACATCATTTGCTAAACTTCTTCATAAAATATTTGAACATACTGTACGTCATCGCAAACAGTCAACATTTTGAGCAATTGTATGAATATTAATGCAACTAACAGCAGATATGATAGTGTAAAATATTACTAAATATAAACTATTTATAGGTCTCTCAGTTTTAGTAGTCAATTTGATTGATTGATTTATTAATTAAAATGCCTTTAGCAATAATTTTTTTTTAGCAAATATTGATATATGTTAGTTAATTGAAATATCATGTAATTAGAATTGATTGGCAGCCTTAATATTGACTTTTTATGCATTGCAAGGAAAGAAAAGTAAGCAAATTGATACCAAAATTGTTATTTTTTCACATTCTGCTGTTTTCCGTCATGCAAATATAACTCAAACATTTCAGGAAATTCAATTAGATTATTATTTTTGCCTGCAGGCTGTTTGAATAAACTCGTTCACATTCATTCACGCACAGACACAGTCTTTGTTTTGTATTTTTTTTGTATCCAGAAATTTTTTAGTGTAGTAGTATACAGTATATGTTTTTGTTCATGGCATTAGGACATTCGGAACTTAATGGTATTCTGGTAATTCAGAATAGATGCAATAGATTTAAATGCAGTGTTATGAATGTTTGGAGTGCAGATAAAGCTGCATG